CTACATACAAACTGGAAACTCTGTGTTCTTGGGCTTCTGGGGTACTATCATTTTCTGTGGCAATTCTAGTCATCCTTTGTATGTTTCATTGGTTTCCATGCCTTTGTGCATCATCAAATGATGATGTTTCTTAGGACATGTTTTTGTTAACTACCACAGTGTTGACTCTTAAGTTAATTTCTAAGCTTTAGACCACTCTCTAAGCTCCAAACTCTAATGTTTAACCATTTACTACTTTGCTGCTGAAATATGTCAAGTAATGCAAACTCAACATGTTTTAGCATCTTTCTCCTAAACCGACCTCCTAATTCAGTTGATGGTGGCAATCACCCACCTGTCCGAGCAAGGAACATTTGAGTTATCTTTAAATCCTCTACATTCAACTGATCACCAAACACTAATATTAGCAAATACATGTCTCATAAAACTCCCCCAAACTGCCTCCTCTGTCATCCCTACTAGAGTCATTTCCTTACACTGAGGCTTCAATTAATACAATAGCTTCATTAATGGGTTTTCCACACTGAAATGCTCTACAGTGTGTATGAAATAAGATCCATCCACCCTGGCATAGGATATAAAGACCACGCACAATCCAGCAGTTTACGTATCTACCTTTTCAGCTTCATCTCTGCTGTCCAAAACCTCTTCTTCCATACCTAATCCCCCCATCCTCCATAATACATGTCAGACTCTTCAACAAAGTATGTACTTTGAACCCTTCCACCATTTGTTCTCCCAATAAAAAATGATTCCATTGTTTAGAATCCACTCCAAAGGTGGTCTGTGACTTTTTGTGATCCTCTCAAGGAAGAACAGATAGGCATCTGTGAATCGCATATTGTGATCCTACTTTGCTTAATATTCTGCCCCATTATATGGTTTATCATATCGCAATATTTTAACTATATATTTACATGTCATTTTCTCCTGGTGCTCTCTGAGGATCATGCTTCACTCATGTTTTATTCTTCATGCATAAAATATAGCAGGCTCTCTCCTCTCTCACTCATCTGACATTATTTTAACCCCCCCAATCCACTGTGCTCGCCAAAGCCAAAGAAAACGAGAGAAACGATGTGAAAATAACAATAATTGATAACTTTAGGTACCATGAGAGTGAAATAAATCAGGGGGCACAGGTTAAGTGTCTCCCTTCGAATTCAAAGGCTGGTTTGAGCATTAGGGATCCTGTCCTGTACCAAAAGGAGAGTCAAGTATCCATGGCTAAAGAATGCCTGATGGCTAAGGGGACTGTTTCAAAGTCATAAAAAGGAGGAGGGATATTTAAAAATATTTAAAAAGTACTGGTATCACCTGCTCATCATGCAATAATCCTTACTTTAACACACTTACTGCGGGCCTACTATATGCCAGTTTCTGTTCTGAGCAATGGAGATGAACAGGTGAAAGAGATAGATAAGGTCTCTGCTCTCACATGGAGATACAAATACACAATGTAATGTCAGACAGTGATAAATATTATGGAGAAAAGTATGGCAGTGTAAAGCTGGGGTGGGACAGGGCAGGGTGGGTTGCTATTTCAGAGTGATCAAGGAAGGCCTTCTTCAAAAGGTGGTATTTCACTAAGACCTAAAGAAATGAAGGGGGAAAAAAAAAAAAGAAGAAATGAAGGAACTGAGTCATATGCAAATACAAACATGAAGGGTCTTCCAGGGAAAAGGAACAGCGAATGGGAAGAAGCAAACGTGGAACCTCACTTGGAATATTCAAGAAACAATGTGGCACAGCAACTGAAGGAGAGTGGTAGGAAATGAAGTCTTAACTGGTATTAGGTAAACTATCAGGATTAGTTGAAAAAGAGTGATTACGGGTAATTTTGACTACAATTTCTATCCTATGACTTAGATCCTAACACTCTACTGTAAATAAACTAATATAGCATTATCCCACAAGGGCAGCATGAAAAGTTGCCAAATGATGACAAAGGAAGAAAAGTCAATAGTCACATTCTACTGATGATTCACCAATCTCCACCTCCAGTCCTGACCTTAAATCTAACTTGGGCATCTTGTCCTCTCCACAGGTTCAACACTTAATTGTTTCCCTCCCTCCTTCCCTCCTCCACCAGGCTAAATTACCTTAGTAGCTGGGGGCAGGACCTTTGATTCTTATTTGAATTCTTAAAGGCCTGCCCAATGGCTTACAATGGGTACTTACTATCTATTCTGATGCATAGCACTACCATTTTTTTTTTCAATTACCTACACTAAAAATCTTAACACTCATCTTATCTCATTCTTACCAGGGGTCTACTTGTAAAACTCTGCTGTTCATTACTTTGAAATAGCTCACATCTCCTTCTCAATTGCTACAGCCATCAACAGATTACAAGAGTTTCCTAAGTGATTTCTTTCCCTTCAAACCCTACCCTCTATCAATGTATAGTAGTCACTACTGCTAAACTGATTGTTTTATAAAATAACTTTGCTATTCTATCCATGAAGTCTTTAATGGACGCCTAGTACCTATACTGTAAAGTCTAAACTTGTCAGTCTTAGTTTATAAGATTCTGCAAAATTCACAATATCATTTATAACAATCTTTTTTTAAAGTGCTCCACTATGAGGATACATTCTCACCATTCCTAGAACAAACTTAATTTTCTTATTTCCTAATGTCATCAAGACTGACCATGTGATTTCCCAAGCAAGCTCAGTTTATACGAGAAACTTACGTATGAAATTTATGTATGTCCCAGTGTAGAGGAGTGGAATATCCTTAGGGAAAAAAGCAGAAAAAATCTACTAATCACAAAAGGCAATTAAGGATTTCACATTACCAATATTCATAAGTAACTAAAACATGCCACTGAAATCCAGTGTACAAAGTTCTTTTACTGTTAGGAATAAATTGTGAACCACGGATATTAAGTGACTTTTTGTCCAATGTTTCACATTTAACTAAAATGAAGCAGAGGTTCTAGGGACTCAAAATCCCACGCCTACACCTTGGACTTCCTTGGCCTTCCCTGCCCTGTCTAACCACCTAAGAAACACATAAATGTATTCACTGGAAAAGCACTAAAATACCGGGATGTTCAGATATTAACTATAGCATGTTATGCAAATATCCGTTGAAAAAATGAACACAGGGATGTCATTCCTGTGCTTAAAATCCTTCGGTTGTTGGCTGTGCACGGTGGCTCATGTCTATAAATCCCAGCACTCTTGGGAGGCCGAGGTGGGAGGATCGCTTGAGCTCAGGAGTTGGAGACCAGCCTCAGCAAGACCAAGACCCGTCTACTAAAAATAGAAAACTCAGCTGGGCCTGGTGTACACCTGTAGTCCCAGCTATTTGGTAGACTGAGGCAGGAGAATCGTTTGAGCCCAGGAGTTTGAAGTTGCTATGAGCTAGGGTGACAGCACTCTACTCAGGGCAACAGAATGAGACTCTGTCTCAAAAAAAAAAAAAAAAATCCTTTAGTTGTTAATCCTAGCACTTTGGGAGGCTGGGAGGCCAGGGTGAGGGAATCACTGGAAGCCAGGAGTTTGAGACCAGCCAGGGCAACACAGTGAGACCCAGCCTGAAGAGACCCCTTCTCTACAAAAATAGAAAAACTTAGCTGGGCGGGTGTAGTGATGCTAAGTGGCCTGTAGTCCCAGCCAGTAGGGAGGCTGAGGCATCAGGAGCCCTTGAGCCCAGGAGTTTGAGGTTGCAGTGAGCTATGATGATGCCACTGTACTCTAGCCCAGGCAACAGAGCAAAACCCTGTCTCAAAACAAACAAACAAATAATCCTTCAGTTACTCCCTACAGCATTTAGACAAGTTCAAAACTCCTTAGATAATCAAAGCCTTTGGAAATCTGACTCCTAATTATCTCTTAATCCAACCTACCAATCATCCTACCAAGTTCCAATTACACCAAAGTATTTAAAAATGTTATTCTAATAACTTGAAAGGAATCTGCCATCGCTGTTACATTTAATAGTGGAAAACAAAAAGATACCAAGACATGTATGTTACCAATCTTTTAGGATACATTAATTTAAAAGCTGCTTGTGAAAAATACTGAGTGTTGTATAAAAAAAGTATCACTGAAGTAAACATTAAAACAAAACTTCCAACATTCCTTTCACCTTTCATAAGAAACTGTATAATGTATGGCTGATGAATGAGTGGTCAGAAAAAAAAAAAAGAAAGAAACTGTATATTATTAAGAGTTTATGCACAGGAATCAGACTGCCTGAACTTAAGCTGAGGCTCCATCAAGTTCCTAATAACCTCTGAGTTTCATTTCTGCAAAATGTGAATTATTATTACCTATTTTGTAGGATTATTGTGCAAGTTAAATCACAGAGACCGAAGCACTTAGCACTATGCCTAAAACACAGTGAGAGTTCAAATATATTCCTCTAATTGTCAACTGCTCAATGAACACAGATTGGAAATCTTAAATTTTGGCTTATTCTCAAATGCTATTGCCTGTGACAATCCGCCGATTAGGATAAAAATGGTTCATTCACCACAAGAATACCAAGTATTCGTTTGCATTCTGGGATATCCAGGAAGTCAGGTGGAGACAATATAAGACTATGATCTGGTCTTCACTTGTGTATAAGAGGTTGTCTTGAGGCACCTTGATCAATGTCTAGCTTATAGTAGGTGATCAATACTTTTTGAAGGGATACTGGAATGAAATGAAAAATAGCCTCAAAATCTGTCATAGGACTGAATCACCAACATTCCTCTTCCAGTAGCAACAATTCTGACCTAAGGGTGACCTAAATTCTGATTTCAACTTCCATCACTGGGCCCTACTCGAAGAACTCATATAAAAATGAAGCAAAAATTGACAGGTGCTCACTTGAAGGGACGTGGTGCGTACGACAGTCCCAAAGCTGTACTTAAAAGGGCACGCTGGAGGACAATACATCAATATGTATGACATCAAGAATAAAAATCAGAATCCCTTCTGCCTTGCAAGTATTACAAAATACTCCTCGATGCTACATCAATTTGCAACATTGGAACTCACCTGTTTTTTCAGTTATATCTGAATCAGGAGTGTTTGCCCTGCTAACTTCCCCTTCAGCATTCTCCTCTTCAGCACTAAGAGAAATGGGTGAAGAAGGGCCAGGCTGGGAGGGTTGAGGGGTTGCTTCGGGTGCTTCCTCAATCTTATTCCTTTTCTCAAAGCGAAAACGGTCCAAGTTGAAAAGATTCATATTGGTAGAAACCACCACCCTAGGGGGCTGGGGGCTTTATATAAACTATCTGAAGGGAAAAAATAAAGACGAAAGGCCATGAAAACAACACAAAATACAAAGCCACAGCAGCTCATTCTCACGGCAATAATGGGCCCGCAAACATGCCAGTGGCTCGGGACTGTTACGGCTGCGCTTCATTGTTAGGCCACACCGATGAGAAGGTGGACAGGGGTGTCTTTTAAAATCTTCCATTGCTTTTCACTCCCCTGCGTCCGCCTCCCCCACCCGCCCCCTCCTTACTCAAACCACGAGCTGACCCTCGTGCAACCTCCTCTTACCCCAGCACTCGCAGGCGCGTTCCCCAACCTGACCCCCCAGCAGGCCTCACGCCTGTCTACAGAGAGGGCTTCCCTGCGCTACGGTGTCCCCTGCCTCGAGAAAAGACCTGCCAGGGCCCGCGCCTCGACACTGCGGGGACACAAAGGGGCCAAAGAAGGGGAGCGGCGGAGGCCGAGCTGGCGGGCACCCGCCCGGAAGTAGACGCGGCGCGGTCCCAGCTGAGAGGAAGCTGATAGGGTTGAGAACACAGGGAGCTTCCGAGGTGGAGACTATGCTGGGGCATCTCTCTCAACGCTCACTCGCTCGCTCGTCTTCTTTCTTCCCTCAGAACTTACGGTCTCGTAGCCTCGGCGCTATGTAACAAAGGTTGCAGAGAAAAAAAAAAAAAAAAAATTTCTGGCGTGGTTCGACGGTAGCCGGGCCGGGACCTTCCAAAATAGCACGGAGAAACCTAACGAGCGCGTAGTGATGACGTAACACGCAGCCGGGGCTTTTTTTTTTTTTTTTTTTTTTTTTTTTGTCCCAAGCTACCCGCGAGCGGAAGATATCGGGGCGCGAGCGCTTGCCATGGTAATTCGTACTCGACTCCGCTTGGTTGTGAGGGTGAGATTGTTCTGCACCTTTGTCCTGTTTCTCCAGGTTAGCTAGACTGTCGTG